GGGGCAGTATGGAGATTATGTAGGGAAGTGAGGAGAGTGAATGACACACAGGAAACAGTCTGGGGTGGACTCCAACCCAGGCGCCAGCTCAGGAAGGCGCACGATGCTCACGCCTTTCCCACGATGCTGCATCAGCTCTTCTAAAGGTTTCGGGGAACTGACGGCGTTCAGAAGCGGCGTTCAGCCGAAACATGACAAAGTGGAGCAGAGCAAACCACAAACCCACAGGACGCGAACACAGGCTGTGATTTTGGGTCATCGCTGGTCTCGGCATCATCAGCACAACAGAAAGAAGCTGGTTGACTCTCTGCTTCATCTCTAAAACTATTGAGCCTCTTATGTTATCACAGGGTTGTGATTCAGATCAAAGATTCTAAACATCACCAACAAACTGATTATTATCTTATCATATGAACAGTCGTGCGCACGCTAGCCCAGCTGTGCTGTTTTACTCTCAAAACCAAACGTCAGGAACTTACAGGCTACAAATACGTGAACTCAGAGGCTCGTGAGAACTTGAGTTTTGACCTCTGAAACATGTGGATGCTATTCCTGCATCTGTGTCTGCACGGCTTTGTGCATGTGCCAAATAATTCTCTGAAGCCGGTAAGACAGAGGAAACAGGAAGTGACCTGACCACACAGGAACGCAGAACTAGATCACCTTGTTCTTTGAGGTCTGCTGCAGTATTGGTACTGAAAGCAGCTCTGGCAGCACTCGTACCACAGACGGCAGCAGCCTCATGACGGACGGACCGGCAGTGAAGTAAACGACGACATCAGAAGAGCTACGTTTGTGTTTGTAGCAAATATGAAAATTTAAATACAGACGTCGGTTTTTTGTCTTCATTAGTCACAAAATAACTGATGTGAGCTTAACTGGTTGTGGCTCAGACGACTTACAGGCGGAGCTGTAATGCCTGTCTGGCAGGGCCTGATCTCCATGAAATGTGTGCGTATGTGTGTGCATTCATGTCTTTGTGGGGACCAACGTTTGAAGGCATGGCTGAGACTCAAAATGTGGTTTTAGTGTCAGGGTTACAGTCGGGTTATGTCAATTAAAAGTCCCCACAAGATATGAATCCCCGACGTGTGTGTGTGTGTGTGTGTGTGTGTGTGTGTGTGTGTGTGTGTGTGTGTGTGAGAGAGTGAGAGAGAGTCTTATTCATGTGCTGAGATAATCTGCCCAGTTCAGATTTATTACGGCCGACTCCTCCAAGTCCCCAAGATTCATTCATTAGAAATGAATGAATCTTGTTTTGGACGCGCTCATTGGCTTATTATATTTTTATATTATTTTGTTTGTGTTTTCTAATAAATACAAAACACAATAGCGACGCAGAGACAGAAACATTATTATTGAAATAAAAAAAGGAAAAGCTTTATATAAAGGTAGTCAAAGCGTCCTCTGAGCGCCGGCTCATCGTTTAAAACGCTTCTTCGTCGGTTTCAAGGTGCTCGATGAGCTCACCATCAGCCTGCTGCTGTTGCTCCATCTGATTAACGTGTGATCTCCACACCGTCCAAATGCTTCACGCTTAAAACTCTAACTCCTATAACTAGTTCACATTCTCATTCTTCTGGATTTCAGAATAAAAGACTTATTTATAAATATGTTCCCGTGCGTTGCATGGTCAGGTGACTCGTGAGGTCGAGTAACGCTGATCTGCTTCCTGTTCCCATCACTCGAAATGAATACGAGGCAAATTCAAACGTGAACACTTTTAGTAAAACGGGGCAGGTGACACTTTACTACATCACGGGATCATCACTTTGGCACAGACTGACCCTCGTAGACTGATCTCGCTCCATCCGGAGGCTCGTCCCGAGGCTCGCCCGGACCCTCCTCATCCCCTCGGGACCTGATCCTGTTTGCTGACTGTTACTTGGAGGTTTGGAGCGAGTCCAGCTGACAGGACTTATCCGTCGAGCTGAGCGGCACATTTAAGATGCTCTCACAGCCACTTTGGAAGATTAAGTGTGGAGCGGCCAAGACGGAGGATCGAAGCTAAGAGACCGGCTTGTTGCATCTGACTGATCTACAGGCTGATGACCGGGCTGGACCGGCCGTGTTGGACCATCAGCCGGCTGGAGTCGCTAAAATCGAGGCCTATCCGCGAGACGAGTCTGAAGACTGTCAGAATTTATATTAATCTGAGAACAGAGAGGTCAGCTGCCCGCTCAGAGCTGTGGCTGCAGTGAAATTAAATATAATGTGGTCACTGAATGCTGCTGGAGATGGAGGCCCTCTGTCACCCCTCGCCTTACAGCGGCAGTGGAAGTGGGTGTGGCCAAGGCTGAATTGCGAATCATTTACACCTGAGGATAAAGGTGTGCCGGAGGCTGGCTCGGTGAAGCTGCTTCGTTGCACTTTTAAAGCAGTTTGAAATAAAAACAGCATTTCTGGTCGTAACAGAAGGATTACAAACTGGTCGCAGTGTGGCTGGTATTGAACTCAGAGGGGGAAGGACCAGTATAAAACCAGTATTTGTAATAAAACCTCGAGGTTCTGACGCTCTGGGCCGTTGACAGGTGAAAACATTAAACAATAACAGGCTCTGAAGGTTAAAACATCCCGAGGAAACAAATTATGAACAGAAAAGAGGAGGTCGTGTTTAAAGAGGCTCAGTGAGGAACCAGGAATCCTCCACGTCCAGATGAACAGAATCAACCTTTTGGGATTTACTTACCTGGATGATTGAGCGTGCTCAAAGACAAATGTTTGATATATTTGCAACATGCGCTTCGGTTCAGACAAAAACTTTCCCAGCAGCCCCGGCGTCTTACCGCAGCATGCAGATGTACTGGCCGGTGTCGGCGGCGGCGGCCGGCTGCAGAAACAGTCTCTCTCTGTCTTTGCTGAGCCGCGAGCTGCAGAGCAGGATGACATCACCAATGAGTGAACGTAAATCAGACACGACTCAATTAGAACAACATTAGAACAAAGTCGGCGAGGCGGATCGAGCCGCCTCCCAAACACCATACGTCCTCTCTGGAAGGGAAATCGTTACAGCCCACTTCATCATTCAGCTCCTCTCAAAGTGTCTCAATTAGACACAACCCGCCCATCTGCTTTAAACTCAACCAGGCTCATCTGTAATCGATCACAAACACATCGGCTGTTTATTCCCTCTGTTATTCTCCAGACAACATAAAGTTTATATAGAAATAAACCTAAAACCTTGAACTGGAGCAGTGGAAGCTTCAGCTTCCTTCTAAACTTGGGCGATCGTGGCTCAAGAGTTGGGAGTTCGCCTTGTAATCGGAAGGTTGCTGGTTTGAGCCCCGGCTTGGACAGTCTCGGTCGTTGTGTCCTTGGGCGAGACACTTCACCCGTTGCCTACTGGTGGTGGTCAGAGGGCCCGCTGGCGCCAGTGTCCGGCAGCCTCGCCTCTGTCAGTGCGCCCCAGGGTGGCTGTGGCTACAATGTAGCTGCCATCACCAGTGTGTGAATGTGTGTGTGACTGGGTGGATGCTTGTGTATAGTGTAAAGTGCTTTGGGGTCCTTAGGACCAAGTAAAACCAAGTAAAAGCACTATACAAATACAGACCATTTAAACTTCCCCTGAAAATGACGCCGACGCGTTAATGGGGGTTACCTGTACATGATTGGCTGCTCCAGGTCGTGGCCCTCGGGGAGGCGGTACCAGAAGAGGTTGTGCCCGGCGCTTTGGGTGGAGGTGTAGTTGTAGACGGAGGGATGAGAGAAAAGAGGACAGGAGAGCCAACCGACCTCACCCTCCACGACAGAGACCGCCCCCTCGCTGGACTCGCCCCAGTCGTAGCACATGGGCTCTGAGAGGAACATTAAAGGAACAGTTCAACCAAGTCCTCGGCGTGCAGATCACACCGAGAACGAGCCAAACATTCAACGGATGAACTTTTTTTTTATCAGAAACTGATGAGTGAACAGGAAGAGGAGTTTGTGGGGGTTCTCCCTCACTGGATCAGGATGCTGGTCTGGCTCTGATTTTTCTGTGCGAATTAAACAGCGCTTAGTGGATGTCATCGTTAACTGGCCTTGTTAAAGGATTAAAGCGCAGAGGGCAGCTGCTGCACTGCTGAAATTAAACTGCTTGCAGCGGTTATTAAATTTGGTGCAGAAAGCTGCACAGAGCGAAGGACAAAGAGCCGTGCGCGTAAACAGATGGAGGCACAGATTTCTGACCCCGACCTCCAGGCTCAGAATATCCCAGCGTCCAGCTGGGAAACACAGACATCAGCATCTGGCACACAGACAGACACCCGGCACAGATGATCATGACTGCTGCCTCACATGTCCACAGCCAACTGAGACCTTTTTTACTTCTTTAAAGTTAGTGTGGGAACCAGATTATGCAACACAGAAAACATTTGTTGTGGCTTTTTAGCCTCTCGTATGTTTGGAAAGCTGAGGAGAGAGAACAGGGCCAACAGCCTCTGCATCAGCCCCACACGGAGCTCTCTGCAGCACAGAGCGGTGCAACAGTCACGCCTCGTTTCTTTATGTTGGGCAGGAAAATTGGAAATAGGTGCAGCGATTTATTGAAACTTGGAGAAACATACACAGAAATACGGCAAAAATATGTGACTGCCTTTATTTTTCTGCTTGACCTCTGAGCAGCTCTGTCGCCTCTGCACGATGGAAACATGCAACCTAAGCTAAGGCATGCAATAAAAACAGGCTTTATTTCCTTACAAAAGTAGAGTTCTGACTGTGCTGTGCCTGGATGGTGTGTGTGTGTGTGTGTGTGTGTGTGTGTGTGTGTGTGTGTGTGTGTGTGTGTGTGTGTGTGTGTCTCCTGTGATGAAATTTTTCCTGCTGCAGAAAGCAGATGTTCTGATGATGCAGATGTTAATAACAGATATTAATAATATGAATAAAGCCAAACGGGTCACGGAAAATAATGTTTATTTTTATTTTTTGTAAATATGAAAACAACTTCATTAATATTTTATTTATATATTATTCTAGTAATCTGGAAAAATAATCTTCCAAAGCCTTTGACTGAATGTGGACACCCCACGCCCCCCTTTAGACTCAGCCCTGCCTGCTGCAGGTATGAGGCGGTGGGTGAAGAAGCTGAAGGTGATGAAGGTCTCGGGTTAAGCGAAACATCAAAACCATCTCTTACTCTTAACCTGAGCTCGGTAACAGCTCCGCCTCTTTGCTCTCTGCCGAGTGTGTGTAGACCAATGGGTGCAGCATGTTTAACTATGACATCATCATCTTAGTCACAGGCATGCTCTTTGATACGTTTCTACTGCGGGGCTGTTTTCAGGTGCAGATACGGGCGAAACGCTCACTGACGTCGCGAAGCTCAAAGCAAAAAATGAGCATCAGGGATTTTCTGTGATACTCTGTGAACTGGGCACTCCTACAGAAACAGACAGTAAAATATCATCAGCATAGAAATTACACGAACATCTGCTTAAGTTCCAGATTGCCGTCACCGTCTCTGCTTATGAAAATCATACAAAGGTGGAACAGGAAAAAACAGGGTGAATTTTAGCCCAGCACAGACATCCCGCCGTGCTGAATGAGGTGTCAGTAAAGCCATTAGTGCTGTAGTATTTATAGCTGATGTAATTCTCCTGCAGTGAGGATGAAACAGCTCTAACCGATGGCTGTAACTAAAAGAGAAAGTGCAAACCCTCATCCAGGATTTTTATCGTAAGCAGGACTTAAATTACCGATTGATCATCAAAATTAGCGCAGACCAATTTTCCCTCAATTGATTTAATTGAGCAGCGGTCTCAGCGCTGACCCGAGGCCAATCAGTCAGTCAGATTACAAAGCACGCAGCTCGCTCTTCAAGCACCTCATCTATAATGACTGAATGACTTAAATGGAGGATAAAGATGATTGCTGTTCAACACAGCATGGGATAATAATAAGGACGACTATCATCCACCACGAGGAGCAGGCTCTTGTAGAATGTGTGACCCCTAAACCCACCTAAGCACAGGAAATACCCTTAAAATCACATCTAAGACCCCCCCTCACAGTCTAAACTGAAACACACACTGAAACTGTCTGAAGGTGCAAAACATTATCAGGGATCAGTGGGACCTCTGTAACCATAGAAACCAGGTAACTCATGCATTATGAGACAAATCCAACAACAGAAACCGTTTCGATTTCGTGGCTCGTCCAGCGGCTCGTCTGGGGTCCCGAGCCTCAGTTTGAGAAACTGAAGTGCAGGTGGTTTCAGGATGGTGAACACCGAGCTCTGGATTAATGGAGGCTCTGTGCCCCTCCTGTACGGAGCTGGATCGAGTGTGCGTGTTGGTAATTGACCTGTCAGGTTCTCCCGGCCGGCGTATTAGTCTTTCTATTAAAACCTTCTCCAGCATCCGTCCACCTCTTCCCGTCCTCCTCCCTCGATATCCATCCATCCATCTACACTAACGCCTCCAGTCTGATCCTACCTCTCCACCTCCCGACACACACATCACCCATCCGTCCGTAACAAGCTGCAGCGATCAGTCCCAGCGATCTGTATGAGGATAATAGGACTACAGTGATGGCGTCGCTGTGTTTGTGATGCTTCAATAATCTGGTTGAAACAGTTTAACATTGATCTGCAACTCGTGTCACAATCGAGGTTTGACTTTAGTCCTTTAATTTAATTTTGCCGTTTTCAGACGTCAGAAATAGCTTTTATTAATGAACCAATCAGGGATGTTACACATCAGGTGACATCTACATATATCAGCATCGTCCAGGTGACGTTTATTTCTTCACATCCTGCTGATGGTTTTAGTTACTCTGGAGGTCTTTAAGCTACTATTACACCAAACATCTGAGCTTTTAATCATGGTTATCAGGAGTGCTTGTCAGGCCTGTTTAGTCTCTATAAACAGATCTGCTGTGTGGGTGTGCAGGTCACCCTCAGCCGTGTGTGTCTGCGGCGTGAGCGTGGAGGGAAACTCGCGACCTTCAGGGTGAAATTTAAAATCACGTTGTTGTTTTTGAAACGGTTGATTTATGGCACGTTTGAAGAGAGCAGCTTTTCCGCCTGCAGCGTCCCCTCCCCTCCTCCTCACTTTACATCCACCCACCTCCTCTACACGGACCTCCCACTGCCCACCCCCGCCTCCCCGCCACCCCCCGACAGCGTTACAAATGAGGCTCCTCGCTCAGGAACCATCCATTCGCCGTCCCACGGGGCGAGAGCTCCGGCTTTTAATTAACCTCACTTCTGCAGAGTTGCACCGCAGAAACAAGAAAGATTTTCAGTTAAGCAGACCCGAGAGACTCTTAGAGGAAAACACGGCACTCGTTTTTGTCCCTCTCAGTTCCCTTCAGCGTAGAAAGAACTCGTCGGCCTGATGGATCCAAATCCACACTTCATCCTCACTCCTGTGCCTCTACATGAGAATTACCTGAAGCTTTTAAAACCCATGTGCATTCAGATTTTTATCTTTTCTGCTTCGCTGCTGCCGAAAGACAAAAGATGCCAACAGACTCGAGTCACTGACTCGACCCTCCGAGGAGCTCCGATCTCATCCCGCCTGTCACAGCTGTCACCTACCTGTCGGAGCGCTGGACTGACTGGCAGCAGGGGAAGTCCCGCCCATCACGGCGAGGAGGAAGACGAGGGCGGAGATGAAAGTTGCCCTGCAAAGACAAAGACTGTTAATGTTTATTTTTCAACAACCTTCAAAACAAACACAAACAACATGAAAGTGCTTCAAACTTGACAAAGAAACTTTGTTTTGAGTCATTCTTGTCATCATTTCTCCATAACTCCATCCATGACTTCAGCTTTATAAGTGAGTGAGAAAACCAAAGAAGGCGTTCACGTATGTGTGGTCTGAATATGTCTGAATGTCTTTATGAAATTATTTATTCCACAAAGACTCTTTTGTTACGTTGGGTTAGTGTAGCATCAGGGTTTAGAATTACAGTCCTCCGCACATTCAAGGTCTTATCTTAATGACCTTGTAGTACCATATCACCCTATTAGAGCACTTCGCTCTCGCTCTGCAGGCCTACTTGTTGTTCCTAGAGTATTTAAAAGTAGAATGGGAGGCAGAGCCTTCAGTTTTCAGGCCCCTCTTCTGTGGAACCAGCTTCCAGTTTGGATTCAGGAGACAGACACTATCTCTACTTTCAAGATTAGGCTTCAAACTTTCCTTTTTGCTAAAGCATATAGTTAGGGCTGGACCAGGTGACCCTGAATCCTCCCTTAGTTATGCTGCAATAGACGTAGGCTGCCGGGGATTCCCATGATGCACTGGGTGTTTCCTCTTCACTATGTGTTAACAGACCTCTCTGCACTGAATCATACTTGTTATTAATCTCTGGCTCTAACTCTGTGCTGAAAAGGTCACTGCAGCTGACCTCCCAGCAGTCTACACACCTGTCTGCTGATTAACTTGCACACATGTGTAACTGACAGCTGTATCTGCTCACCTGACCAGCATCCAAAGGTGTGCAGATCGTGGAGGGATATCTGAATGATTCGAGAATGAGTTTGTTTTTTAATTCGCATCCGTTGCCGGGGAAACCTCCAACACACACCGGCTGTTTTACTGGACTACAGCACGAGTCCAGGCCGACCTACCCCACCTCTGTCTGTCTGTGCACGTCCATCTCCATAAATCTGCAGCAGAGTGAGCTGATTAATCCAGTCGTTATCTGAGATGAGATGGATGATGACCTCCACGTCTAAGGAACTGACTTCAAATGAAAACCAACTGGCATGGCAGCGAGAAATGAGAAATTGTATCTATTTTCATTTCATTTTATTGGTTTATTGTGGGAGTGTGTGTTTGCTCTGCAGCAGCGAGTCATGATTAATTTTTATGGATCAATATGTGCCACCTCCTCCTCCTCCTGCGTGCAGCGCGCTTCAGGACAGGAAAGGGGGTTAAAGGTCACATGCCTCCTTACATAGATGATCACAGCTAAATAAAAGCTAAAGATAGATTTGAAAAACGGAAATCAAATAAAAACTAGACTTCTGCCAAACAACAGGATCTGACTGAGTCAAACTCCAAACACAGGAAATGTCTTCAGCTTTAGTTGTTGTTAATCTGCTTAAATCTGCAGCCTCAGCGAGCCGTTACTATCAGACAGTACTCACGTATATTCCTGCTTTAACTATACAGCTGAGAAAGCCATGCTTTATCCTAATAATCTATAAAAAGCAGAGTAAAGATTACCCGGTTACTAACAGATAAAATAAAAAAGGAGGCACGGCTCGCAGGGACAGTAAAACTTGCAGCGCCTGAGATTTCACTCTTAAAGGAAGTCACGGTCCCCTGCCCGCGCACCTCCACAGGGAGGCTGATGAATGTCTCTGAAAAACGAAACGACCCGAGCTGCAAGCAGGTAACTGCTCATGTCACGCTGTCTGAATAACAGACCGTCTTCATGGTCGCTTAGTAATCCAAACCCGTCGCACTGACAGGAAGAAGCTTTGCAGCTTGTTTGTCTTTCCTTCGTCCACCTGGAACAATTGGAGGAGACTCGGTCAGCTGATCGCAGGTGAGACGTTAATGCGCTTAAATCTGGAAATCTGAAAAGTCACATGATCAACACGAGACGCTGATCACTGAAAACGGTTTTGGGCTGAAATACAGTTGTTGGCACTGAGCTTTCTCAGTTGCCATGGTAATGCATCGTCTCTGAGGAGGATGGGCAGCGCATATTTATCCTGCAGCTACAATCCACTTTGCAACCCACCTGCACCCGAGCTCCTCCTCCTCCTAACTACATGAGCGTGAAAGCTGCTCTCTCCGAGGAGGTCGGGGAAGACCGGAGACGTGTGGGACCTGCTGTGGTGTGCAGTCCCTCTCCACCAAACTTGACCCTTGGCACAGTGCAGTCAGACAAGTACTGTTGTCCTGGCAACTGCCAAACCCAGACTCGCCCATCGGATTGCGAGACGGAGAAGCGTGATTGGTCACTCCAGAGAACGCGTCTCCACTGCTCTAGAGTCCAATGGCGACATGCTTTACATCACTGTATCCGACGCTTTGCATTGAGCTTGATGATACAGCCGGTCGCCATGGAAACCTGCTCCACAAAACTCTCTACGCTCTGTTCTTGAGCTAATCTGAAGGTCACGTGAAGTTTGCAGACAGTGGGTGACCTCTGTGCACGGCGCACCTCAGCATCCGCTGACCGCGCTCTGATTTTACGAGATCTACCGCTTCATAGTTGTGTTGCTGTCCTTCACCATCGATTCCACTTTGCTATAATCCCACTAACAGCTGACTGTGGAATATTTAGTGGCGAGGAATTTTCACGGCTGGACCTGTTGCACAGGTGTCGTCTTATGGAAGTGACTGGAACACCAAATTCAGTGAGTTGGTTGGTGAGTGGATACTTTTGGAGATGTAGTGCATCATTCAGGAGACGACTGCAGCGCGTTGGGCGTGAGTAAAATAAATAAGGGGTTGTGTTGACCAGCACATCGGCAATAACCGCCGCCGTAGGTCTCAGACTGAGCCTGTCGAAGGCTGTGACGCAAACAGAATCGTGACTCACGTCTTTATCTGCTTCATGCCTCTCATGAACAGAAACCAGCCTCCCAGTATGGAAACCAACCATTTCACTTCAGTTCCCATTAGTCTCATTAGTCATGTGGTCTGGGAAAACATCCCAAAACTTCCAGTAAGCTTTGTTCTGTTCGACCAACACCTGAAAACCCACAAACGTTCATTCACCTGAGATGTGAGAGGCCACAGATCTCAGCTGTTCCTGTTTGACATTTTAATAACAAACGAACAGCCGAGCGACGGGAAAATGCACCACAGCAGAAAACGAGTAAGAAGGTGAAGAAAGATGGAGAGGCGCTGCAAGAGACAGACGGAGGGACATAAAGAGTCACGGTGGACAATCAGGCAGAACTAGTGGATCCCAGGAGGGACATACAGACCCAGAGCTGCTCACCAACGCCATCCATCACTCACACACACTCTCTCACTCACACACACACACACCTCCTGTGTGTGTTTGCACGAGCGAGCGATACGCTTCATCACAGGTACAGAGATATAACCCCCTCGAGCTTCGCCCCAGAGGATTCTGGGTACTAGATTGCCCATTTTTAGAGACTGAGTGAGTTAAACAAACACACAAAACAAAACAGCAGCTTCCTCTGAGGAAATCTTCACCACTCCATCTGCACACTTCATTTACAGTTTACTCATCTGCTCGCTTTTATTTCTTTGTTGTTTTTCTTCATTTCTGGGCGGGGGGGGTTACTGCACTGCCTCATCAGTTCAGTGCTTAGATGTGATGATGATGATGATGATGAAGAGGCATGTGGGCTGCAGTTATGTTTCTGCTGATCACTGCAGACTCTGACCTGACTGACTATAATCGGATTATCGGGACCAGATCGATGGAGACTGTCCTCCAAACGTCAGACTCACATTTATAAAGTGTCCACTTCCAGCTGCCTTCACATCCGGACAGCTGTGAAACAAACTTCATTATTTTAAGAAGCTCTCTGTCCTTCACGTAAAATTCGGCCCTCATAACAGATCAGAATTTGAACTTCCACTCACAGCAGCAGGACAAAGCGTAAATGATTTACTGGAGTTGTACATGTTTTTGAGCGCGGGCAGGTCGGGGCAGGGCACGCACGCCGAACCGAAGAACACATAAACATGATATCAGCTGACGCGCGTTTTCTGATAAAGAAAATCGATCCACGCAGGAATTGTGAGATTTTGAGAATGAAACTCGGCATGCAGGCGCACGGACACCAGCAGAGAGGCTCTGCGTCCGGACAGCCCGCTACGGATCACCGGTGTGCGCGGTGGTACTCTCACTGACGGCGGCTCTCCGTCAGTGAGCCCGCAGAACCAACCCGAGCCTGGTAAAGCACAGTGACGGGGTCCGTAGAGGAAACAGTACATTTAAAACCAGCAGGCGGTCACTTACATTGGCAGCAGGTCCTCCGGGGGTGAGAGGTGTGAGTCCGGTCGGGGCTGTCCAGCTGGATGTGCCGGTGGGCGGACCCAGAACCAGGAGTGTCCGGGTCCAGTGTGAGGCGCCAGAGTCCTGCGGCTCACTCACTCCCTCACCCTCTGGGAGCAGCGGGGCTCTGGTGATTAACGGCCGCGTGTCAGGGCTCGATCTCGGCTGTAAATCTCCCACGGAGGCCCCGGTGCTCCGGGAACTCCTCCAAAGTGACGCTCGGAGCTGCTCCGGGTAATTAAGCAGCCGCGGTTAACATCACGTGCCGGCTAATTAAAGGCGCGGGAGGGTAGCGCGAGTCTTCGAACAGCTGTGGACAGATGCTGACAGATGTTAACAGCTGGATTCGGTCCGCACAAACTTTAAAGAGTGTTAAAAGCGCGTAAAAGGCGCAGCGAGCGGCGCAGTGTTTACGTGGAGGAAGTAAAAGTTCCGCGGATTCCGGTCCACGCTCCTCCTCCTCTCTCACTCTGTTGCGACATCGATGAGAGTTATTTCCCAATAACACACACACACACACACACACGCACGCAGAGCTCCGTGAAGGTGCCCCCCCATTAACAGGTCTCTTGTTTGGTGTTAGGATGGATGATCGTTTCTGAAATAACGGCGCTTTATTCATTTCTATCTGTGATGCTTTTTTGAATTCGCTGCGTTTTTCTATTCATGTTTTTATTTCATTCACATTTTTATCAAGATTTGAAACTAGTAAAATATTTACTAGTTTTATTTAAGGAAATCGTCAGAAACTCCAGCTGGGAACCAACAGCAGTGCTGCTTCAGTCTGAAACTGTAATCTGATTACAATGGTTGGACTAAAAGTTGCAGCCTGGTGTGACGTCGCCCCCTGGTGGTGTCTGTCAGCAGTCTGAGCTTTGCAGGCTCACTGGCGTTCAAATGTGGTGAAGTACATTTAAAATAAGAGAAAAATAAAACCTGATCAATCCCAATTTTCTGAATCTTTCACAATAAAAGCCTCTCACCCGTTGACTCGATGACGCCAGAGAAAACGCTACCCAGGTATTTCCCAATAAAATTCCCATGCTTCTTCACGGTAACCAACAGCTGTTTTAATTTTAATGGAGTGAGGATGAAAGATTTGATCTAAACTACTGAAATGTGTAAAACTGGTGGAAATTCAGTGGAAAGCTCTGCAGCCGTACTCTTCCTGAAGGCGTTACAGGAAATTAAACTCATACAGCCCACCTTTACAGCACTGACATGGAGGACCAGCCAGTTCATTTTTGGATCAATAAATAATCAATAAGTGGCTGATCAGAGCACCAGGGACGTGCAGAGGGGGGGGCTAGAGGGGCTTGAGCACCCGCCCCTTTCCTGATGAGTGCCCAAAGTGCCCTTTTGTTGAGGCAACTTTTAAATTTTTTTTATTTATTTATTTATTTATTTTTTTATGTGTGTGTGCGTGCGGAGTCCTGTCTGTGCCCCTCAACAATAATATTTAACTATTAATCATAGTTTTGCTAAATAAAAGGATCTGGCTTGCATCAGTCACATGATCACATTTAACCAATGATCGCCCTCGACGGCAGAACGCGCTGGTTACGAGCCGGGAACGAGCTCACAAAGAGCACGCGCATTTTTTGCGGTCCGGAGCTGTAGGAGAAACACAAGTTAACTCAGAGACACAGACTGATGCGACAAAACCAGTAAGTAGGTGTACAGCGTACACTGTAGTGTGTAGCACCCAGGAGTATCAGCTTATTACGTACACGTTGGTAAGCTGTCTTGTTGCAACTGACGAACTGAAACAAACGAGCGTGCTGTGTGTGCAACAGCGCGACAAACATTACCTGTCCTTTTATTAACTGCACAAGTAGTGCTGGTCATAGCTGCTGGCTACCTGTGTAAGGCTGTCATGGGTCTGTAGCTCTGTCACCGTTTTAGGGAACATATTTAGTTTTAAAGTAAGTTTCTGGGCATTTCCTGCCTTTCTGGAGGGATTATATTTCACTAAAAAACGATCTAATATGCATGTCCACATAATAATTATTATAATATATTAAAAAACACACGCTGTATTTTAAAGAACATACATTAAGAAGCAGATTATATTAGATTTATATTTTAAATAAGACAAAATTTGGATTTTACAGCAGTAAAATGATTGTATCTCTACAGTTTAAAAATGTAATAAGCTTTGCCCTGCACAGAGTGGATAGTGAAACAAATGGAATCATCATAAATACATTATTTCATATTTATTACTTCCCCCTCCTCATTGCTTTATTATTGTAGCTCTAGTAATAAATAATAATGTAAGGATGCCCATAGTATATACAGTATTCTGAAGAAGGTCTAAAATGTCACTGTGTGTGCATGTGTGTGTTTTATTTAGCTGGATTTAAAAAAATATTACTCATGATATAACATTGTGCAGACATGGCTGGTAAGGACATGAGGAGGAAACAGTAGGAGCTGTGTGAGGCTACTAAAGGCAGGGCTATAACATTTTTCTGTCATCATTTTATTATAGATTAAGTGCAAGAGTTGTTAGGTGTGGATAATTAGATTATAGTTTATTGCAATAGCAAGTTGTGCCTTGTTCTCAGATAGACAGCAAGTGGAGAGTGATATATGAAATGATGGGAAGGAAGGAAGAAGAGAAGCAAAGAGTGATTCACAGGCAGAGCCGAGTTTATGTCACAGTTTTTCGTTGCCTTATGGTTCCAAGCGCTGTCACCAATCTTTGCATTTTGTTATTATCTCATGACACTTGTTTAATCAGCTACCATCTCTCCTGTGGACTTTTTAATGTCTACAGTCTCAGATCAACACAGCCCTGCCCTTCCCATATTAGATTCTTGATGAATGTGTGTTGTTGTTATTCAGCATGGTTCAATGTGCCCCTTTTTAACTTTGAGCACCCGCCCCTTTAAACCTCTCTGCACGTCCCTGCAGAGCAGACTAAACCTGAAGTTTCTGATCCAGCTTCACCTTAAAATTCCTCCTACAGCTTCACAATAAAAGCCTCCTTGTAATTTCACAGTAAAAGCCTATTAAACTCTATACAGCAAGTCACATAGATCAGGGGTCCCCAATCCCAGGCCTCGAGGGCCGGTGTCCTGCAGGTTTTAGATCTCACCCTGGTCAACACACCTGAATCACATGATTAGTTCATCATCAGGCCTCTGGAGAACTTCAGGACATGTTGAGGAGCTAATTTCGCCATTTAATTCAGCTGTGATGGATCAAGGACACATCTAAACCCTGCAGGGAAACCGGCCCTCGTGGACTGGGACTGGGGACCCCCGACATAGATGTTTTACATTAAAAGTCTCCAAGCTGCTGCTTCACAATAAAAGCCTCTCATCTGTAGATGAGACAGTAGAGATCCCCAGGCTGCTTCAAAGTAAAACCCCTTTACCTACTTCCCCGCGAAGACCCATCGTGGCTCCACAATAAAAGCCTACCGTTTACAAAGAAAAAAAACTCACGAAGTTCCTTCAAAGTAAAAGCACTAAAACGGCTTTACAGTAAAAGTCCATCAGTTTAATTTTGAGTTTACCTTTTCAAGCTCACTTGTTAAAATAAAAGCCCTTGCATTAGTTCTCCAACATCTTCAAAGTTAAAGCCCTCCCCATCTTCTTTATAATAAAAGCCCTACAGCTGTTTTACATTAAAATCCAAAAGATTACATTAAAAGCAGGAAGTCACACAAACACTTCACAATTAAAGTCTTGAAACACATTTGAGCAGTAAAAGCCTCCACAGTAAGAATCCTAAGCTTTGCAAGAAAATCACCAAATCGATTACAATAAGTCACAACGATGTTTCAAAGTAAAAGCTTAAAAGTCTATGGTTTGCTTCACAATGAAAGCTTCACATAAAATAAAAGTCTTGAAGCTGGGTCAGGGTACTACTGCTCCTTCACAATAAAAGTCTCTCAGTACACACAAAATAAAAGCACAAAGATGCTTGAAATTAAAAGCAAACAAGTCCTCCTATAACTTCACAATAAAAGCCCACCAACAGTTTCACAATAAAGGTCACAAAGCTCCTTCAAATTAAAAGACTTAAAGTGGCAATTAAAACTCAACAAAATTCCTTTACTTGCTTCACAATAAAAGTCCCCTAGTAACTTCACAGTAAAAGCCTCTGAGCATTTTTACAGTAAACTGTTTCAAAATAAGAGCTCAGAGACAAAATAAAATGCTAAAGCTGCTTCGTAGTAAAACTCTCACAGCTAACTGTGTGACCAGATTTAGAAATGAAACTCTCGGAGTCGCTTCAAACCGTGTGAATTGGTTTGTAATTAGATGCTTCACAATAAAAGTTATTTCTTTCAAAATAAAACCTGCCACCTGCTTAACAACGAGATGCTGTTGGATCCCAGAGGTCAGGCTGACGGTGTTTCCTCCTTGTTGCTGTGATGTCGGCTGATGGTCGGACCACAGTCGTGTTTTTGTGTCTCTCCTTGTTAAAGTTGGATGAAGCCGCCTGCCAGGTCGTCGCCCGTAAAGTGGAAACCAGCCTGGATGAGCTTTTAGACCATCTCGGGAATAACTGAGAGCTTTTTAGTGGGAAACCACAAAAATACCTGAGTGTTTCCTGCCGCGGCTGCTTCAGAGATCCCAACGTGACATACACGAGCTTTATTTGTGGCCTAAAGTCTGAATCTGAGCGTTTTGTGTTTATGCAGCAGGACCGAAGTCATTCGAACACAAATCCTCGGACTTACAGGAGATTTGATGACAGATAAACGAGGCCCTTTATCACCATGAAGCAAGTCTGCTGAAGTTACAACTTCAAATAAAAATGAGCGATATCTGTGCTACTCTGACCTTTTCTCAATATTGTTTTAAACGATTCTTTCATTTTCTTTACACATTAAAATCACAAACTCACTAATCTCAAATATTTTGGGACAGACTAACGAACTAACGTGCTTATGGACTGAACAGCTGAACGTACAGAAATCCAGTTTTAAGCAGGCGCTGCTGAAACGTCTTTAGGCAGCTGTTGTTGTGAAATGTTGTTAGTTAAAAATAAAAGTGAATTGAACTGAAACAGTGGCCAGAGCATGAGGATTCATTTCAGATTAAAACACAGAGGCCGACTTTGTTGCTTATTGTGTTTCCAGGGTCTGTGTGCAGGGGATATCCTTAAATGGTCATGTCTGCACAGAAGCCCCGCCCTTACGCCCTTGAAACCTCCTTTATGTGAGGAGCAACCAATCAGAAGAAAGTTGCCCTGAAGGATGGGCTGTGCAAAGGGCCAGGATAAGATAAAGAAGGATTATTTTGTGACTCATGCAAAGCAGCTGAGAATGAGCAGAGCAGATTAACATGTACACAGACAAACAAGTTCATCGTCAGGAGTAAAAAACAGACAGACACTGATGCTCTTATATGTTTTTTTATTTTTCAGTACTCTTTTTTCATCCTGCTGCGTATTTGCGATGGTTTTCTTCTAATATATGATGCGTTTTTATATGGAGGTGCGTCCGAAAAGGTGCAAACATCAGCAAACACAAAGAAAGAGCAAGAGATTTTAGGTTCGACAAACACGTTGCAACTCGGTGACGTTCACCCTCCTCCTGGGCCTGCGTCGCTTCGTAATGACATCATCATTTTGTGATACGACAGTGCCCCCTACAGGTTCAACATCTCACTGTTTTTGAGTAAAAAAACTGAGCGTCTCAGTTTTTATAAGCAGGAAACTTTAAAACTGCCATCTCAAATTTCTAGAGAGCTCAGAGTCGAACCCTGAACGCTTTAAAACACAGACTTTTGTCTTTTCTACACTTTCTGCTTCTCATGAACCGGTTTACAAACTCATGCTGCCTTCAGGTGACGCAGATTACCATCGATGCGAGCCTTATCAACAATGGTTCAATGTTCCCGCTCTGATTTTGTGCTTGTGAAATAAAGGATTTGAAACCCTGCACTTATTTTTTGCTAACTTGAGAAGACTCGAGTTAAAGTATTTGAGAATGTCTCAGTAAAATGACAACAGGCAGCACGGAGACAAAAGAAACACTGTGGACGTTTAAAGCAGCGAACGAACGCACACATCTGGTTTTTCTTACACTTTAAGACATTCTCAAATATTTGATACGCAACTCTTTTCTCTGCAGGTGTTCGTGTGAGCTTGTGAAAGGTGACAAATGTCATCTGGCGTCACATGTAAATAAATCAAAACAACATTTTTATTTACTTTAACATATAAAAATTAAATTATATAGTTAACAACACTAGAAATTATTTTATCTATGAAAGTTATTACATTTATTACTAAGTTGTTGCTGATTTTTTTCCCTCTATGTTGAATTTATTTCCTTTTTTTTCTGCTTTTGTTTCATTGCTGTCGTGTGCTAGCGTGCTATATGAGCTCAAATGTGAGCGCCATTTGTAGTTACTTCATGTTTGCATTTGAGATCATTTTTTTGATGCATATTCTGAAATAATGTATATTTTCATCATTTTAGTTTATTTTGAAAAGTCTCAACAGGATCTTGAGCTTTATTGTGAAAGGTTTATGTGAAAAATAATCAAGTGGACGGTTTTTTGCTAACAAACTGACGCTTAAAACAGGCGCTTGTCCGTCCGTAGTGTGGTTATTTTAAATATAAGACAAAGAGAGAACTATAAGAAGAAAGTAAGATGGCCACTACATCAACATTTAATTTCTATCTAGATTTCAGATTTATTTAGATAATAAACTGAGATCTATGACATATGTTTTGGTTATGTGACTGGCACTTTGCTTCCTCCGTACAAACGGGCTCTCACTTGATTTTTGAGGCGAACTTATCTCGTAACTTGAAGGCAGTTAGATTGAAACTGGTTCTGGGTCTCCTGCTGAGCCTGAAGCAGAGGATGTGGTAGAAAAGACACCCGGTACAACATTTCTGTCGAGTGGTTTGGTTGTGTTGACGCTTACAGAAACATTAAGAGGAGAGCGTTCGTGCCGAGCCGCTCGTGTTCCAGTCCTCGCGGTCCGACCCAGAACCCCAAACTGGAAGACATTCTCAGAGGCAGCGCAGCAGACTGTGACTGGTCCATTCATTTCCACCCTTCAGTCCATTTATCCATTTACAACCTCACCAACCACGCCCCGCTTGACCCCGCCTCCTTTTACCCTCCACTTCCACCGATCAGAGTGTTTTTAAGTGTCATCTCTGCAGCTTGGTGTCGGCCGACGGGAGGTGACGAGTTTCCCAAAAACAAACACATCAAAGTTCAAACTCTCGTTCATCTGCAGGCCGAGCTCCTCGTTTGGAGTCCAACTCCAGTCCTCCAGAGCTACCTGCAGCTTTTAGACGCATCCTTGTTCTGACACACCTGAATGGTTTGTTATTAGGCCTTTGCCAAACTTCATGTCTGCTGAAGAGGGAATCCAACCTTTTGATTCAGCTGTATTGGAGTAGGGATGCATCTAAACTCTGGAGGACTACAGCTGGACACCCCTGGGTTAAGGGACTTTTATGTAACAAACGTGCAGAACGTCATCAGCAGTTGTTGTTTTAACTGTTTTAAAATGTGACCGTTCTTTAAACCTTTGCTCTGTTTTTATCCCTACGCTCTTTTCGCCAACAGACGTTACTCTCTTACTTGGCACATAAGGTGTTTTTAGTAACTTACTTAAATACGGCTACACTGACTTGCTGCTCCTTATGGTACAAACTGGCCCAGCCTAGTTCTAAAATGAGCAGCTGCTTATTCAGAGAGCTTCCTGTTAATCAGCAACAGAATCAGGATCAGAAGAACAGCCGGGACTGTTTTGGGGACTTGGTCCAATCTAGATGTGGAACCAGGGACAGTACAGTGGAGGGACATTTCAGCCTGAGCAGAGGTTTTCCATCTCTGATCTTTATGACTCAAAAATATCTTTACAAATGATTTTATGATGACAGAAGTTTCTCAGGGTTGTTCTGAGCCAGCGTGACGACAGAGGCTGAACTTGTGGAACCACAGTATGAGCTGCAGAGACAGGATCGCAGCACGAATGGCACTAACGACTTTCCATACATGCTGCAGTCCTGGTGATTTTCTCCCGCTGAGAACGGTGAAGGCAGTGATAGAACGTGTGCAGGAGGAAGGACGCGTTCGATGGAGACTCGTTTCATTTTTTTCCCGGTTTTCTTTTTGGGAAACTCGGCTGGTAACATCGGAGAGAAGTAAAGGGTCTGAGTGAGAGAAGAAGGAAAGTCTTAGAGGTTGGAGAGGGCAGTGCAGCGACTCAGGCTGAACGTCTAAACTTTACTCTCTGGAAAGGAAAAGATCTCGCCGTCACAGAGCAGTGCAAGGAAGAAACGTACTCGGGGTGGACACAATAAAGGGAGCTTTCAATCCTGAGCATCCACCCAGGGAGCTGCACGTCTGCTCTTCCTTAAACTCTTGACTTTTATTTTGAAAGATGACAGGAAATCTTTTCCTTTCAGCTGTGTGAAGTTCAGACGAGGTTGGAGTGAAACAGTTTTCAGGGCAGTGCTCTTTGTCTAAACAAAGCAGGGCAGTGTCAGAAACGCTCCAAAGCCCCCCATCGGCCGACACCTGAATGCATCACGGTGGAGGGAGTGAAAGCGGGAGCGTCGGGCGTTTTATCCAAACACATTCACATCCACGACATAAAAACCTGTTCTGGAATCTTTTGATTCACTAATCAATAACCGACCACTTCATCTTTTCCTTGAAGTTAAATTTAAAATTCTAATTTCCTTCTCTTGAACCGCTGCACACATCGTGCCACGTCAACATAAACAAATGGACCAATCAGAGCTCAGTGTGCCCGTCCTCATCAAAACCAAACATACAGTCGTGTTAATAACAGACAAAGTGAGCGCATGCTGTGGCGTTTTAACCCGTTAAATCCTGATCACGCAGAGCTCCAACACGCCTGCACAGGGCAGGTCGCGGTCGGCTCGTCGTTCAGCTTCAGTCCTGTTCAGACCGGATCAGAGTTACACAACTCGGCTGTTAGTGTCTCAATAAATCATTTAGACCTCCCCATGTCTGCGGGGGCGTCGCACAGAAAGTACATCATGCAATATTTCTTGTAACGCCGCAAAACCCAAAATCTTGTCATGTGATCAGAGCCTGAACGCAGCACAGAGAGACTGAGCTGCGATCAGTTTTTTATGACATTACTGGTGGACTTCACAGTCCTGCTGATCTCTTTTTAAAACCAGCAGCTTTCAGACCAACCTCGTGTCTGAAACTCCCCACAGTCAGAGTTACACCTCCACCTGTGCTCACGGCTCTTTGACCTTTCCTGCCCCGGGTTGTGTCTCACAGGCTGCAGGCCTCTAACAGTAACTCACACCAGCCGTGTTTTGGAGAGCAGACTGTATATAAAGGATGGCTGTAGCTACCAGGACGTCACTCGCTGTAAAATACAAATAAAATTCCAGAATTTCAGTCGCCAAAACTGGAGCTCAGACTTCTTAGGCGGAGGAAATTATCTCTAACAGTGTTTTTTACCAGGCTGTATATTTCTACTGTAAAGCTGTTCATTTTAACATACCAGTCTATGGGGACTGGCCCACCGCTGAAAGTTGCTGCTTGATTTTGGGCTCCTGCCGTCCTTCATTTATTACTTTCTGTGCAATGGAAAAGAATTAGCACTATGCTAAGCTGCACAGTTTGCACAGTTCATGGTTACTACTACAGTGGGTGTGCTCGCTATAATCTGACAGCACACTGACTGTATAGTTTATACAGAGAAGCATCCAGGGTTGCTTCTGCCCTACGTTTCCCCTGAAATGATTAATTGATTATGTTTTAGGATATTCAAAATCCCCCCATCGTCAACTATTTGTTCATGGAAAATATTTGGGAGTACACCATCTATACTACAGTCTGTTCCAACCGTAAACTGGGCTTGTATTTGACCTATAAGCTGCAGGTGCTTTTACAAGCCTCTTGGCAACCCACCTCCACCCCAGTTCTTCTGGGGTGTATCATATCTGATGTCTCAGATGCATAGTGACAAATATAAACTGCTCTGCGGATGTAACAGCCGTTAGTTAACACAGCCTGAGACGAAGCCTGCAGACAACACTCAGGGCTGAAAGGTCAAAGCCTTTCTCTGAGCCTCGCACAAACTTTTCACGTTTGGATGCGTTTAAAGAAGTTTCGTCGGTTTTCATCAACGTGAAGCGAAAGCAGGAACTCGATCTACAAACTGCTGAGTGATTTTAAAAAGCAGGAATGTGGAGTTCACGTGGACACCACCTGCAGCGACCACACAAACCGGCACGCTGTTCTGATCCTCTCAGGCGTACAGTCACCCGGTCGCCCGACTGACCTCCGTCACAGGAAGCGGTCCGATCGGCACAGAGCCGTCTTCCTTCCTTCAGTCGCCAGTGTCTGCAACAAAAACCCACAAAGGCTCCCACCCCGAAAACACAACGTAACGCACGTAAAGATGTGGCAGCTGAAGAAGACGAAACAGAAAAGGTCTTCCTTCCAACCGGACAGAACATCACGCAGAAGAAGACGAAGAAGCGCGGCGTGTCAAAAGTGCGAAAGTCTTTGCATTCATTAAGAAATGAAAGGAAGTGAAGTTTCTACATGGCTTAAAGCTTCGGAGTTCTCAGCGCTCGCTCGACTCGCAAAAACATTTTGTCGTCGTTGTGACAGAAATGATGATGATGATTACAATGTGGCGATGAAGAGTAGGTGGGCTAGCCTCTCGGCGCCATTTCAGCAGGGCTCTTTGCATAAAATGTAAATCATCATCATCAACGTCTTGTTTTTTTTCCATTTCCAAACAGGCCCCTCCCCCTCGCCCTCCCCCATTTGATTTAAAATATTTCATAACGAGCACGAAGACCCCACCGCCCCCCCTCCCCTTTTTTTAAGCTTCTTTTTTTCTTTGTTTTCGCCGTCGTTGTTATGGCGGTTGTTGTCGTCGGTGTGGTTGTAGTTGTTGTTGTTGCTGAACAGAGGGAGTGTTAAAATGGGAGTTCTCCTCCTCCACCTTCGCCTCGTCTTCCTCCTGCGGGTGGCGCTGCAGGCTACGACGCCTCTCGTTCTGTGGAGGACTCCGCTGCCCGCTGCTCCCTCTCCAGGCTCCTCGCCCGCTCCTCGCTGTTCATCGTCGGGCTCCTCGAGGACTTCAGCAGCTTCTCCTCGAGCTCGTGCAGCGACGGCTCCTTATACATGCAGACTACAGGGGGAGGGCGGGGGGAGGACGGGGGAGAAAGACAGTGAGTCATTAAAGCATCACGCCACCACCAACTCTCGAATTTACACATAAAATAAACTGAAAGACATCCAGACGTAAATTCAGATGTCAGAGTTCAACCTGTGATGCTGCATTCAGTGACATAATCATAACTAACAGGTGTGCAGTTTGTGCCAGCGTGGACGAGGACACACCTGAGCCTTTATGCAAATAAAGACAAACCTATTAAAACTAGCAGCTACTTCGAGGTCTATGTGCTGACGTTAAATAACAGAAAAGAAGAAGAACGAATCAGAAAGGAGGAGGTAAAAGAAGACATCAGTGAGTTAACGAGGGGGGAGAAGGAAGAAGGGGAGGAAGGAGGCTGAAGGACACCGAGGAAGAGGAGAAGATTGACAGAAGGACGAGAGGAAGGTGATAGTTGACAGATGTATAGTTGATGGATATTTTTAAATGAAGATGAGGGATGAGAGGGGAGGGGCAGAGCAGCTGAAAGCAGAGACGGAGCTTCGTGTTTCCAGTTAAACCTCCATCTGTGATATTAGAGCTTCACCTTGTCCTCACACTCTGAGTTCTGGCTGGACGACCTCGGCTCCTGGCTCACCTCTGAGCTCTCCACGCCTTCCTCAAACGCTCCCGTTTGCTCCCAGGATCTAAGAGCACAGCAGCTGAGCTACAACGGCTCCTACAAACCGACAGCACAACCTCCCAGTCTCACGGCCAGCTGCCGTTTTACTGGTTGTATCGTCAAACAGGACTAAAAATATCACATTAAAAGACTTCGCTATTCTTTCAATTTATGTAATTCTGGTTCGAGTTCTCCAGGAAATACGAGTCTCGGCTGCTTTACTGTTAAGAGGGTCAGTGTTTACGTAGGCTTTACTCGGCCAACGGTTCACCTGAAGTAGGTCAGAATGTGAGGCTGAGGATTTTGAGATATGACGTTCAGAAACACTTTTTCCTGCCTCTGTGTTTTAATATCAGGACGTTTCCAGCAGAAGGTAGATGTCAGTGTTTCAGTGTTACGCACCTACATTTACAAAATCACCTCTAAATGCAAAACCTCAAAGCCCATTTCACTTATTGAACTCATCTTCTACTACGATAAACTACAGACATGTGGAGAACCGTCGATTTCAAAGTACAAAAATCCCAAACTGGGAGAAAAAGCTGACTTTTCTACTTCTTCTCTCATGTTTGCGCTTAAAAAAACATTTTGTTGTAAAAATACAGAGTGTGGAGTTTAGCTCAGAGCGGGAGGCGAGGTTACACTTTCCTCTAAACACAACTTGTGTGTCTTTCACTGACGCGGAGCAGAGGAAGCTGAAGATATCAGCTGCATGTGCACACAGAAGAACAATGTGAAATAGTTTTAACATTAGCTTATTAAAAGTTTTGATGACTTGTTGGTTAAATGAAATGGAGCTGAAACATTTGCTTTTTTCCTCAAATGTTTAAATATTTCTGAAAATTTGATGAACGATAAATTCTGTATCCAAACTGAATCGTGAGCTCCTGTCGTGTAAACCAGAGATGTAACTGTTGGACTGACGTCATCACAGACCTGCAAAATCAGTCATGAACTGTAAGGATAAATATTCACTCTGGGACAACAGAAAACAAGCGTGCTTTGAACTCCAGGACGGTTCCCCGAGGACCTCAACAATACTGCAGACCCACAAACCTTCTTTACACATAAAGAAAATCGACGGTGGCGTTACTAATTCACACTTCGTCCTCGTGTTTTGTCTTTCTGTCTGACCCGTGAGACACGAAAGCATCGCCACCACCAACATCTGTGTCCACAGCTGGTCTCACCTTCGATGGGTCTGGGGACAAAGTGTGAGCACGGTTTGGTTTTCTTCACTCGGTTTCCCTTCATGATGATTCCTTCCTTATTGAGGCCCAGGAACCAAGCCCGGCCCGACTCGTGCTGCCGATACATGGTGGACGAGTAGATGACGTAGTAGTTTTCAAAGACCGACTCCTTGAACTTGCACTCTGGTGTGAACACATCCTGATACACAAACACACAGAAAACATTTGAAGTGTAATCAGCAGAGAGATCATTTTGTAGTTTTCCTTACACGACCGCCTGCTTCACATCTCTGTGCGTCCACATGTTTGATTGCACGACTCGGCTGCTTTTATCTGAGTTTTATTTTGAAGTTTAAACTTGGGGCTTTTATTTTGAAATGAACAGCGTCGAGTGCTGACCAGCAGCCTTTTAGCGTCACGGTTCAGTTTGTGCTCAAAGCTTTTGTCATCATTTTACTTCCATATGAATCTGCCTGCCTGGTGTGACAGGACAGGAAACGCTCACTACATGCTGATACTTCACAGAAACACGGCAGGATGTGATAGGACACAGCACGCGAAGCAGCCAATGAGCCGCGACCAATACGAAACACCTCGAAGGTGATCGATCACATTACACGCACACGATAGCGTCAGCAGCACTGCAGCGCAGCGTCACATGTAACAGGACATGAGAGGCTTACAAAAGCTGGCTCTTAATTCTCAGCCTGAGTTCACACTGAGCGCAGGTTCACTGCTGCAGTCTTTACACAATTTTAATTAAACAAAAGGAATCTGAACTGTAAGAACTTCAATAATCCATAAAACATAAATGGGAAAAGAAGCTCAGTGCAAAGCAGCTGAAGAATAAAACTCGACATTATTTTGAAAGCTTCAAAAAGCTTTTAAGTTGAAATATTAATGTAAGTCTTGTTCGTGCACGGAGCAGGAAGCTGTGGTGGACACCAAACGTGACTGCTGGGCCGTTTAAAGTCCCAGTTTAGCACCTCCCTCCAGGTATAACAGGTGTGTGCGTGTGTGTGTGTGCGTGTGCACCCTCTGGATATAACAGGTGGTCAGGTGAGCCAATCAGAGCAGAACAACCCCCTTAGCCTAGAGCCAGAGCCGGCGTTCAGTTACCTCAATTCTGCGTCCACTTAATAAATAAAAAGCAGTTTTGGTCAGCAGGTGTGGACTGCAGGCTCCTGGAGAAGCTTAGAGGCTGTTTTTATTTGTAATCTGTTGCCGATTATGTTCATGTGTCGCTGTGCTTCCTCTCCCAGCCTTTTGCTGCCCTGCTCCGACCTTTGAGACGCGTTCCTGTCATAAACTTTGTATTGATGTAAAAACTTTGTTCACCGTGAGATGTCACAGATGCCAATTACAAATCTGTCTCTGAGTGTTTAAAATGATTCACGAGTGACTGAGAATCACGCTGAAGTCACTACTACACTTAATAAAACCCAACACAAACACAGCAACAGATAAAGAGGAAAAAGGAGCCACGAGGAAGGAAAGACGGGACTTCAAATGGAGCGTGACGATGATGTCGAGGAGGAAGAGGAAACAGAATAAATGATGAAAAGCGTATTTTTTCCTCCCAGCACGCAGCCTGCATCTCATATCAAGACGTGATGGTTTCAGTAAACAGTGTCGAGACGCTCGGGCCTCCCAGCACAACTTTACTTGCAGCTGTCTCACCGCTCATGCTGTAATGCTCTTACATAACTGCAGAGCAAGAGGAGGAGCTGCTGTACTCTTCATCTGAAGCTACACCTGAGAGAACATGAGTTTATATTTTATGGAGCCGAACCAAATCCTCACTTTACCTCCTACAAAAACAGGGCTGCCTCTTCCATCCTGGATTTATCCGGCATGTGGTTGAAGGGCTGAGAGATGGGATGAAGTCATGTGATCTCCCCGCTCTCGATTCAAAGCATTGAGCAGTCAGCACCGACTGGTGAGATGGGATCAGGCCAATTTGTGATTAATTAATAATTAATTAATGATTAAGATTCATGAAGAGGACCATCGAGCTAACAAGTGCAGAAACATTTACTAACAGCTGCACTTCCATATATGGCATCAAACCACGAAGCAGAACTGAAGCGCAGCTGCAAAGTGGCAGCAAGGTTTCATCACGTACCCGCCACGAAGGCACGCTCGTGTTACACTGACTCAAACTACCACACAGTCAGCGTCCGCGCCTTCAAATCGCAGTGGCGGCGAGACATCTGTGATTGACAGGCAGCAGCAGCCAATAGGAGCGCTGCAGAACAGGTAGTTCATGGTCGCTCCTCAGAATTACATCTTCCCCACAGCGCCGACCAACAATCGCAGCTAACAGCTAGCTTCTTCGGGCGCGCTGCGAGCTCATATTTACTTTTTGTGTCTAACACGCCTGAGAAAGCTTCCTCACATCGTCGCCGTTATCCTCCTCTTCCTCCACCACTCTGCCTCCATCCTGATGCTGCGCACAGAGAGGCGCATTTTAAAGTTTTATGTACGTGTTGTGAATTATGGATGTTAGATGGACTCGCTGAGCAGCAGTACAGCTGTAGATGTGCTCGGTCTGATCAGGGCTGTCCTCCTAACTACTTCCATTGTTCATCATCAATTAATTATTACACACGCTGTCTAAAAGTGGAACTTTTGTACCGTAATGTCACCGAGTTTGCATCTGAACACGAGCTGGAACAGAAAAAACAAACGCAGGATCTCTTTGCAGGGGAAGAACTGGATCGGTCAGATAATGAAATAAGATCTGAAATCAGATCTTGTGGGGATTAAAACTGAGAGAAGTGTTTTCACTTCAGTGAGAAACTTTATCTCAGTGTCACCCTTTAAACTCTGCCTGAGTCCTTGAGCAAAGCAGTAACACCTTATTACCTCACAAACAGTAGTTGACTATCAGTGTTTTCAGCAACGAGACGTGTTAATAGTTAAAATGATTGTTGGGGACACGTCAGGAGCTCCTGGCTTTACCTGCTCCAAACCTTTAACGAAACAAGCTCAAGAAGGACATGAGGATGAGGCAGATGTTCTTACAGATGTGTAGAGGAATCCCTCGGCGTTCATGGCCACGTACAGCGCGGCCTTCACTCCCTGGATGGCCACGACCCTCAAACCTACTGGGATGAGGTTAAACAGAGCTGGAGGGCGAGAGACATAGAAACAGACAGAGAGAGAGAGTTAGATAGTGAGAGGCAGAAGTAGATTAATACAAAACGTCACAGAGAGCACAGAAGACGGACGGAGCTACCAGGAAGTCTGCCGCAGTTAGCGAGCTCTTATTGTGAAACCTCGAGTTGAGTCATTTGGCGTTTTGAAAGCAGATGTGACGATCGAGCGGCGGAGATGAACGAGGAACTAAGATACTGCACTAAGCTCCCCTCTTAACGACCATGATTTCAAACGTTGATGACCTGGCTCTCTTCCTCTCCTTACTCCTGCAGGTTACTTCCTGTTAAAAGGGAGTTTTTCCTTCCCACTGTTGCCAAAGTGCTTGATCATAGGAGGTCATATGATTGTTGGGTTTTCCTCTGTATGTATTATTGTAGGGTTTACATTACAGTATGAAGCACCTTGAGGAGACTGTTGTGTAAATAAAACTCAATTCGAGACCTCCCAGAATATTTTTGTTCTATGAATATGTGCACGTATACATCAGACGGAGCAGAAACGTTTAACACTGCAGGATGATGTGAAAATGGTGGGTTAGCCACGAGGCCCCAGCGTCTCAGCCAGGCGGAGGTTGAGACCCGGACTCTGGACCGTTGCAGCAGCTCCATTCTTTCCTTTTTCAGCTGTTGCATGCTAGCATGCTAACAGAGGCCTGTAGAGTCTCCTGGGGGGAATTTGCTGGGACATCCACTCCTGAGATGATGTCTTGAGTGTTTTCCACGTGTGGATACCGTCCTCCGCTGTGGAATAACGGACTTGAGATTCTTTGGCGATGGCCTTATCCCTGCATGACCGATGGACATCAACTGATGCTTCTTTAAGCTCGTTGCTGATGCCTTTCCTCCTCTGCATTGTGTTAACACACAAACCTGCAAACCTCAGAAACGTCTGCTTCTATCTGTTCTCACATTTGCAGTAAAAAGTGTCGGAAATGAAAATGTCACGAAGAGTCGCACAGAGCAGGTTTAAATTAATAAACCAGCAGTGATTCCTCCATCTCTGCTTTAAATCTTCTGCACCTGTGTAAATCAGACCCACTCAGCATTAAAAAATCCCATTACACCTCCTCAAACTGTGAATTCTTGTGCTTTTAGTCGATCTGTAACGGTGGTTAAAACCCGGCTCAGCCTGCTGATGTGCTTCCAGCTGATAAAGCGAGAGAAAAAGACTGAATAAAAGCAGAGAGAGAGCGAGAGGGGGGGTGATAGAGGGACGCAGTGATGAGAGGTGATTTAATCCTCGGGGACAGAGAGCTGCAGTGTGGGTGAGGATGAGGAGTAGGAGGAGGTGGAGGAGGAAGAGGCCTGTGGCAATGGCTGCGGTTAATCCTCCTTTATTTAACTCAGAGATGATCAGAGAGAAAGCGAGTGGGGGAGAGAGGGGAATCCAAAACATCTCCTCCTCCTCTTGTCCTGTTTTTGCTTCTTTTTTTCCAAACCAAAAGGATTTACAGGAAGCAGCAGAGGCTGTAATCCTGAGCTCATCCAGCCGAGAAACAAAGACCTGCAGCGGGAACGTGACCGAGTATCGACGATCAGAAGCTGCCTTCAGACTGCTCCACCTCGGATCACTCTGTTACAGACGCCAGATGCAGCTTCAGCTCTGTTCTCTGACGCAACCCCAAACGGGATTTGTGGAATCGAACCAACGACCTTTTGCTTGCCAAGCGAATGTGTTAAACGTGACAGCGTTGTAGGGGAGGTGCCTTTAGTGAGGGGAGGGTGGAGCGTGAGAGCGACAGATGGATTGGGGCGGAGTCTGCAGCGGTGCAGACGCTGCATTGACATCCCCACACTCACCTGTGGGGAGTGACTGAAAGAGCTGCAGGTGTAAGCTGTGGAAATGCATCTCCTTTGAAGCGCACTTAGTGACGGGGCTCAGAGCAGATCTGCTGGTCCTCCACATCGAATAGTTCAGGCAAGTCCGACCGGGAGGAGGACCGGGCAGACCCAGGACTCACTGGAGAGATTATATCTCAGCTGGCTGGGATCAAATCCCCCCGGATGAGCTGGAGGAGCTGGCTGGGGCGAAGGAGGTCCGGACTTCTCTGGTTAGACTTCATGACCCAAACCCGGGGAAGCAGCAGAAGATTGTTGGATTATGTTTATGTTCTGATTTAATGAGCTGTTGTGTTTGAGATCCTTCTTCTGTGTAATGTTTCACCTTTCTGAGCTGTTCTCTTGTTTGACATCGGATGATTTGATCCACGGTGCTTTTACACTTTGGCTGTGGCTCTTTCCATAAAAGTTGGAGGTAGCGACCACGACATCACACAGTGTGAAACAACATGCTCACTGAACCCTTCATAAAACCGACTCCTGACACCAAACTTTAGAAAATTACCTCATCTTTTTATTTAGCTTGACCCAAAGCGAGCCCATAAACCCTCAGGATCGCCCCCTGGAGGCCATCAAAAAGAGTACAGGTGTGAGGCATTTTCTCTTCAGACAGAGAAGCCACGCCCATTTTTTATGTAGCGTGCGGTCTAGACAAATACAGTTTTAATGTGGGACTCACTGTAGTCGCTGTTCTCGTCCTTGGTGCCGCTGATGGCTCCTTCGGGCTGCATCTGCAGGAAGAAGCCCTGCTCGCTGAAGAGGCGCGTCACGATGCCCTTCAGCTGCGGCTCTGAAACACAAAGACCGATGTGAGGTTCAGCACACACACACGCACGCACACACTGTTGTCAGGTAGCATTGCTGAGTTTATCTCACTCATGTAAGCGTTTTGTTCTTCTTCTCTACTTTCACATTTGAGAAGAAGAAGAAGAAACAAGCGTACATCCCAACATTTCCCGTCCAGCGTTCCTCACACAGACTCGACCGCAGAGAACTGTCACACCTGTGCAGTCAGCTTGCAAATCACGCTAGCTAGCATTAGCTGATAACTCAGCAGTTCACCCTTTGCTTGCATAAGACATATAACACTAACAGTGTGTCAGCCACTAGTTTAAGAACATGTTTAAACATGACCATCGGAAACCCTCCAATCTGTGTGGACAGAGTCAGGAAGTTCCTGAAGCCCCAAATCAGTGACCTTTGCCCTCAGAGTTAGCAGATGGCTGCTGATGGGTTTCCAGCCTGGGCCACGTGAAGCTTAAGGGCACACAAACACACATGGTTCAAACCCCAGGGTGTCACATGTGCCCCAGAGACAAACCCTGAGGCCACGGCTCAGCGCGCGAGTCCCTCCTGCTTGACTTTAACACCGAGCTGAAGGTCTGAGGATGTAAACACGGTAGAAGCTGAGCAGACGAAGTGATGCTCCAGATGACAATGTGGGCCAGAAGGACTCATCTCTGGCAGAAATAGACCAAAAAGACAGCGAGGCTAATGTGGAGCAGGCCGCTGTGCTACTTAACATCTGAAAGGACCGAAGACACACATACGTGTCCGGAAACGACAACAAGGTAAATCTTCACCTTTTAACAGAGCAGACGTGAGTGTGAGTGTGGAGGAGCTGACACACAGCAGGACCAACCGGCCCTGCAAAACACAACGACCTAAACAAAGACCTTTATTGGCTGCTGCTCATTAAAGTCGTTTGGTTTTACTCTGATTACCCGTCAAACAGCTCACTATCGCCTTGCTCAAGTGCTCGCTCACAGGTTTACTTTCTGGTAAAAGCAATCTTGGTTATGAATTCAGAGAATAAAAATAGCCTCCAACATGATCATTTTAAAGGATTTAAGGTGTCAAACAGAAATTAATATTAACTAAATACCGATAAGGACCTAACGTTTATATTCAAGGAGCTAACTTATTTATTTCTGGTCATTTTTACGTTCATGAATACATTCAGTTGTTTTCCCACATATTTATGTCATCAGTGCGTTTTAAAGGAAGGCCATAGAAGTCAGCTGGTTTACTTTAGAGGGCAGTGGCGTACCTCACGCTGTGTTTTGATGTTCAGAACCCAAAGTCAGCGTGCTGACGATTCAAACACCGACATCTGCAAGGTGTAATCTCTAATTATAAGCACGGATCCAGGAGCTATATCTGTGAGTGTGTGTCACGCTGTGTGAAGACAAGCTGTGAGTTTTAACATCTGTGAGGCCGCGGGCGACAAAACACCTCGTCACACGCTGCTCCCCGAGCTCAGGCGTGATCAGACTGACAGCGCCTTTAAAACCCAACCTCGTCTTCCCGAGTCGCAGTGAAACGATAAACGCTGAACTAAGAACGCCGTCTGCTGCTGTGGGAGCTTTCTACACGAAGGAACCGTGACATCGATGAAAGAAAACCACCTGCTCATCTCTTACATATATGTACCGATGACCCGAGATGGTACGAAAGCCAACGTTTTCTAAATGTGCATTCCTTTTAAAGGCCACCAGGGGGCGACACCTGAAAGAAAAGACGAGGAAATAGCTCATGGACCTCATTACTGGTTTCCACACACCAACACAGTGATGGTGTAAATCAGGAGTGTCAAACATGAGGCCCGTGGGCCAGAATCTGCCCGACGATGACTCCAATCCGGCCCACTTTAAGTTTTGCAGTTTTCCCTCCACGCCACACCAAACTACAGGATATGCTCTGTGAATGAATGAAAACTTTACATTGTAAATGCATAATTACAGGACAGTCTGAGCGATGAGCTACCAGAACCTTCTCTGCAACTTTCCTACCTGTTTCAAGCCCACTACACATCACAGTTTTCCTTTTAGGACATCGCAGACTGAGAGGGCGAGCGGCTTGATTCTGGCCCTCAGGCCGCACTTTGCCCCTGTGTGTGGTCGATTCTGCACAAAAAGGTGGCGAAAAAGCCAAAGGAAAACCTGGAAGTGCTGCTGAAGGATACTGGAGGCACGCGGTCGTGTTTTGATTTGAACTTGAGCAAAGTTGGGGGTGAAATCTTTACGGCTTCAAAAAGGCTTCATGCAGTAACAGATCTCATTAGCAGAGGACTCACTGAGGGCGAAACATCAAAGCAGGGCAAAGTGCTGACGTTGAGCTGAACGCCGACTTCACCAGCTGCAGAACAACTCATGAATAACTCGGCCTCTTCCTACCAGCTCCTTACTGGAGAACTTGAAGTCTGCAGACTCTGAAGGAGCTGATCAAGCACAAGTGCTGCGTAATAGTTTCTTTAAGAAGCTGTTTGTTGTATTGCCAAGAAAACAGGAGGCGGAGGCGACGGCGGGGAGTCGGCTAATGAGAGATGAGAGCTGCAGCTAGCTCATAAATGTGTAAACGCAGACATCCGTCCAGTTCTCCGACGCTCTGCTGCTGCTCTCCGAGAAGCTTTCTCTGGAGGGAACGCCGCTCGAGTTCAGGTCGACTTTTATCTCGTTATTCTGCAGGAGGACTAAAAAACATAAAGGTTTGCAGTGACTTCAAGAAAAGAAAAATGCCGTCTGGAATCACACCGTGGGGATCTGATGATGCAACGCTCATTACAAATAAAACAGAGAACATGGAAGAACCCACAGCAAACAGGGAGGTGAGTTTTCTTTATGCAATCCAGTATCATGATGAACACCACGGAAACCTCAAATCAAAGCTGAGCTTCAACTTTCTGAGCTTTAAAAGGCTGAAACCGTCCTCGTCAAGGCAACCAATGAACTTCTTCAGTGTTGACGGACCCTCAACAGACACAGGTAAGGAAAGCCCTGAATCTGAATTTATCAAAGTGAACATAAGGATAAGCTTTATTTGTCAGTTGCAGTTGCCTGCAGCTGAAATGACAGACCTACAGACAATATACAAACTTACACTGGGGAGACAGGTCAGGCTGGAAAAAGGGATCGACAGTGAAATATGTAACATATGGGGGCAAAGTCAGGAGAAAACAAAGGGTTTCTGCCCATGATGACTTCCAACAAGTGAGTCATCATAAGGAGAAAGCACAGAAAACTCCATAGCACACAAAGAAGCACAGATATCATCACACTCCACGCCATGAAACACAGACAAGCAGCATACGGGCGGGGGTGCGCCGATGTACACAGTGGTCGCGGACGCTGCAATTCCTCGCGCCTCCAGCTGAGCCGCTGTCTCCATCGGGGGAGGCGGGGTAAGCACGGTTACCTGATCAGAACATCAATCAGTTCTGATCAGGTAACCGTGCAGCAACCAAGGTGTCTGTTTAGTGTTCGAGTGGGAGGAGCCAGACGTCTGAAAGCGACGTTAATAACTAGGGGGGAGGGGCTTCAAAATAACTGCCCGGATTTGTTCAAGTTGCCAAGTTGGGAGGTTTCCTTCCTCAAGGATTCCTGCGTCATTGACAGGAAATGTTCTCATATGGCGATCTCAGGTGCACAGAAGGCCTGCTCACCTGCTGTTAAAACCAGCCAGTCAGAGGAAAGCTGAGTTAAAGCTGCAGGTTGTTCACATTAAATTGGACCTGTGTTATTTCCTGTCATATATCTGCTACTTTACGAGCGACAGCCAATCAGAAAGACAAAGGATGCCCTGTGTAAGATAAAGAAGGATTATTTTGAATGGTGACTCGTGCTAAGCTGCTCTGATCAGCGTGGTCATGAACCTGTGTGAGAGCAGTGTTCCCGTCCCGCCGTAACACGGCAAACCTTTGCTCTCCGAATCGTTCCACCCACCTGGTTTCCGGCGTACTGGTCTTTTCTTTCCGCTGCAGAAGCGAACTTTGCTAAAGACGCTGAAGATGTGTCGCTCACACAGAGACCTCGGGTCTTTACTGGGACTTGAGCGTCGCTTGTTAGTGGCGACTTTGTCGCTGTTGGACTCGCGGGCCTGGCGCTTCTGTCTGATCAGGGAGCTGGCGATAGCCGCCGCCATATCTCTGAGAGGAGGACGAAGCCACAGAGGAACAAAATATCTGCTCCTGCTGTCCGAGTCTGAGGCTGACGACCCTTCAGTCCGAAACAGGTGACATGTCGCCTGACGGGCCTCGGAGGGACCGAGCCAAGATGAAAAATCTTCTCCCTTATGGCAGATCGTTGATTAAGAACCAAAACGTTAGAGATCCACTGTGTGGAACAGCTGATGCACAACGGTCACACGTACAGGCTTCAAAAGAAAAACACCAGAAGGATCCTGAAAATCCACAAAAGTGAAGAACCCGGCAGTCGTTTCACGTTTGTGCGATTCACCGCACAAAACCTGTGTGCACTCCGATGTTAGGAAACAGATATTCCTCTTAAACAGTTTAAATAGTTGATTTATGAGTATATGTTTACATGTTGAGGCTTCCTTTCTGACGACTAATCCAAAGAACGGTGATGAAGTCCCCGCACTCTTCAGCTGAGGGTTTGGAGATAGATCACAAATCCTGATGGAGCTCTGAAAGACGGAAACTTTAAATATCCAGAGAAGAACAGAATACCTGTTCCCTAAATAACCCTACAGGTTCCCACACAAGTTAAGACGCAGCACTGGCCTGGAGACGATTATTAAAGGAATAAAGAAAAACTCTGAATGAACATTTGATGAGTGATTACGCCTCGATCGAGGAGCTCATCGTGTCTGCTGGGTAATTTATCACTTTAGGTCGCCTCCATCTTTCAGACGCTCCGATGGAAGCGCACATGGCAGCAGGGATTTTCTCGATTTACGCGCCACAAACAGAAGAATCAAAGAGCTTCACCGTGACGTTTCTTCACATCTCTGTGGAGCGGGAGGAAAGCATCTTCATCCACCCGCCTACAT